AAAAAGATCTGATGATGAAAATAACAAATGCAGCCTCGGATATATTAAAAACACAGGACGAGTCTGTTCGCTCCAGATTAATAAGAAACCGAGGAGCATGTTCAGATCTTCAGTCAACACACAAACACATTCATAATGTCTCCGACGTCCCAGAGACATTTTCTCATATTTGTTGTGAAGCAGACTTTTCCAAAGTCTGAAAACTTTAACAGATTAAATTCACAAGTACGACAAGAGGACGAGTGTCTACTTTAACAAACCTTTATTACAGAATCACAGCAGCTTGTTTAATCATCTGCTTTTTTAAAATCACCTCAGGTATCTACAGAATGATCCTGTCTGTTTCTACAAGGCCTCGGAACACACGGTTAATAACGTTAGTGACGGACAAGTTTGATTCACACACAAGAAAACATCTGTTCAAATCCTGTGACCCACGTTTCATCCTTTCAGGTTTTAATTCGAGCCTGAAGCTGGAAACAAAAGTAGAGAAAGAAGAAGCTCATTTATCTCTGGAGTGTTTTTCTGCCTCTTCTGTCATCAGAGTTCAACTCTGCTCAAAACTTTTCTTTTTATTTCCACACAATAAAAGTTCTGATTCAGTCTGGAAGGACAGAGCATGAGAGACAAGAAACCTCATGAAACTTGAACTCACAGTAGAAAACTACAGAGCGGAGTTTCTGTCCCTGAAAACTTTTTCAACAGATCCGTTTCTCGTGAGGTCGCTGACCATGAATTTATCATTTGGCCGATAACGTTGTCTGATATGAGACTTTCACAGACGAGTCAAAGTTTTAAAAACATCGAAACAGAACCAACAATCAAATAAACGTGGATTTCTGTTTAAATTTTACATAAATAATATTTATTTTCTTAAATGAAGTTCAGGTCAAGTCTCTGATGACGAATCAGACAAGACATCGGCATCTGAAAACTTTTACTCCCAAAAACACGGATTAGTCGAGCTCAGGTTTAAATACTGGTCGAGCTTTGTAACAAACAGGAAGTTGCTATAAAAGCAGTTTAACTTTAACTCATCAGAAGAAATAGGAAAAAAAAAAAATCCAGCTGACTTGGAGGTTAAATAGTTTTTCTACTGAGCAGCGATAATGAATCCTCTGGAGTTCAGTAACTAATCCTGATGTGCTGAAGTCTAATTAGACAAAGTGCGTCAAAGGAAGAGAACACGACTCCGAGAACAAACAGCGACAGGAACCAAAACCAAGAGGAAAGAAAGAAACAGAGGAAAGAAAGAGAAGAAGGAGGAGAAGAAGGAGAAGAAACCAACAGAGTCTGAACTCCTCTCGTTAAAGATCTCTTCATCATTTACTGTAAATAAACATGGACGACATGAAAGGGAAATTATCTTTGTGGCCCCCTGGTGGCTGGTCATGAAGTCTCCTCCATGTTCATCAGTGGGACATGGACCAAAAATATCTTAGTGTTTCTGTGAAGATGAATTCCTTTTTTTTTTTTTTTTTTTTTTTTTAAAAAAAAAAAACACAGGATGAAGATGATTGACAGCTTAGACCGACTCACGATTGGTGGAGGACGTGCGTCAGCGGCTTCGTCCCGCGATCGCTACAGCGCCGACTCCGAACGACTCGAGGAGATAAAGACGGCGGCGCTCGTACCTGGGAGACGATGTGGAGACGCTTCGTCCATTTTTATTTACAGTTTGTGATCTCGGCTCCGCCCAGGGTCACGTCAGGACTTTCAGAAACTTTCCTCTGAAGCTGGACGCTCTCGTTGTCTCAGTAACTCGTCCGTCTCCCTCCCTCCCTCCCTCCCTCCCTCCCTCCCTCCTTCCTGTCCGTCTGTGTGTGTTTGTTGAATTCACTGGCTGCTTCCCTCCACGTCAGCCTCCTCCCCCTCCTCCTCCTCCAGCTCCACCAGAGGAGCGTGGCGATTGGCCTGAGAACCTTCGCTGAAGAAAACCTTCTTGATCACACCGGACTTGGGCGCCCGGATCGTGTGCTGCGGAAAAAACAGCGAAGAGAAAACTGATCAACTCAAACGGAAAAACTCAGCCGAGCGAGTTTTAAACTTCAGATTAGAGTAAAGATTAAAGTGAGATCTCGTTAAGGAGCAGAAATCTGCCGCTCACCTCCATCTTCATGGCGATCATGACCATCAGCGCGTCTCCCACCGCCACTTTGTCTCCGACCTTCACCAGCACCTGGACACAGAATATTCACATTGAAGTAAAGAGCCTCGAACTCGTCTTCACTACACAGTCAGTGTGTTTTAAATATAATATTATACTCAGACGTCTCCTCATAAACTTAAAGTAATGGACAAACGTTTATTCCTCAGGAGAATTAAAGTACGAGAAACACAACGAGAAGATATTAAAACCATCAGTCAGTTCTTTTATGTTTTTGTTATGAAGCTTCTGCAAATCTAAAAACTTTGCACAGGAGCTGAAGACGATGAGCTGCAAAGAACTGAAGTACACTCAAGTATTAAAGTACAAAGTATTTCTCCCTTTTTGAAATCTGCTTCTATCAGATGGATTTTACAGAAACAAACTTTCTCCCACGTCACCAGATTCTCACAAAACTATTTAAAATTCAAAACACAAACGGTTTTTTGTTTTGTTTACAGAAAATCTGTCAAACGATCGACCTGAATTATTTCTCTACTGAATTCACTTCATTCATTTATTTACACTTGTTCACCAGAGTCGTCTTATGAATCAATTTATCATCGTTTACTTCACCTTCACCAGTTTATTTTATATATAACGTATTTTATATATAACGTATTTTATAACGTGTTGCTAACGACACGTTTTAAATCCCAGTTAAAAGTAAAATCACTGTTTTCTTCAGAACTTTTTCTCAGAAGATAATACTGCAGTACTGCTGTACCTTGAGTTTTATGAAAAGGTTTGTTCAAATATAATTTACATTTAAAAAGGTGTGAAATAAAGAAATTCAACAACATCAAACTGACCTTCTCTATGGTTCCTGTCATGGGGGCCACGGCTCCGCCCTGAGCCCCGGAGCCGCTCACACCGGCCAGATATTTGGGCACCGGCACCGACACCTGGGCCGTCCCCTCCTGCAGATGGAGACACGTCAGAAACGAGGAGTGACAGTTCAACTGAGGTCAGGGGAAGAGGACGGACTTTAATTTCCCCTGACGTCAGCGGTGAAGAGTGATTCTCTTTAAATGGACTGAGCGACGCTTTGATTCTCAGCTTTCATCAAATCTGTGCTTCGGGACAACGAACCTGAAATAACTGAAGTGAAAACAGAAGCAGGTCACGCGATCAAACACTGACTTTGATTTTACAGCCTTTAAACTGCTGCGGATCACAAACACCGGTGGACGTAAAGTTTAACAAGTAAAGGTTTTAGTTTAAGAGACAGTGAATTAAAGGTTCATCCAAAATCTTCTGTAGAAGCAGAAACATGCTCGTTGTTATAATAATGATAATTATTATAATAAGAGTCTGAACGAACCATAGAGAACAGATGAACCATGTTTTCCAGAATCACCAGTTTGGGACGAGACTTCTCTCCGTTGACGGAGCAGTGAAGGAACGAAGCTCCGCCCTCCAACTCCACCTCTCCGGTCACATGGTACAAGTCCTCGCCGATCTGAAGGAAGAGAAGAAACAATCATTTTGTAGTTCTTATGCTACTGCTAGTGATGCTAACACAAAGTAAACAGTGATTTAGATCATCGATGATCGATACTTTACATTTCTCTAATTGCTTGTATTAAGAATTATTTATTAATTGTACAATTTTTACTAAATCAAATATAAAACGGAAACGAGATCGAAAACTTGTTTTGTTTTATGGAATGAATAAAAAACTACTTGTCCACTTTTCTCATCATTTTAAAACACGGTTTATTTACGATGCAATACAATAAAAAAACTTTTCTTCAGCTCACCTGCATGTTGTAACTTCCATCTTTGTTATACTTGATCACCACATCAACCTCTGGAGACACGGACGAGAGGACATGTTTTTAAAAAGTCAGGATTCATTAAAACATCTTCCTCTTCCTGCAGCAGCACTGGACTGATTTCTGGACTTGCAGAAACATTTTTAATAGAAACATTGAATAATGAATGTGACTTCATTAACAAACTGTCTCTGAACTTAATTATTCAAACTGGAATTAAATTAAAACACATCCTCAGCTGCTGAGACCAGAACTCAAACCTTCACGATGATCCTAAATAAGTGTAGAGAATCAAACTAAATACATACGACTCATGTATTTGTACACAGTTTGTCCGTTACCTACATGTGTGTATGCATGTGTATATATGACTGTGTGTGTTCCCTCCTCCCTCACCGTCTTGTACTCGTGATATTATTTGGAGTGTGTAATAATCTCAGCGTGTTACGATCCCACTGATACACACAACACAACACAAAAGTAATTTCCAGCTGTCGATCATGAGGCTTCATCTGTTTTTTCAACATCAAATAAAAGGAAACTCCACAGGGAGCAACCAACGTCCATGTACCTGATGTGTACTTTTACTTTAGTTTGGTCCACGTGCCATGCTCTAACATGGAGGAGGGGGGGTTACAGCCAATACTAGAGTCAGACACCAGGGTGCAAAACACTGCAACATATAATATGCATATATTATTTGTTGCAGCCTCAAATGAACTGTGATCTAAACTCTGTAATCAGAGACATTCATTCTCTTCCTGTACACCAGGGGGCAGTAGAGGTCAAGTAAGTGAGTGGTACTTGCTTTTGTCTCCGACCTGTAGCGTCATATTTCTGTTGAACTGAATGTTGTTTCTCCAGCCGCTGCTCGAGCCGAAAGGAGAGAAGGGGTCTGAAAACACACACACACACTTAATTACACTTGTTTGTTTTGTTTTTTTCAAATCCAATCATTTCCCCTGACGTTGTCAGACTCCTCCCCTCACCTGTGGAGGCGTGCGTGAACTCCTGTGTGCGTCTCCTCTCCTGCAGCACCAGACCCAGGGCCGCCTGGCAGATGGTTTCCCCAGAAGGAGCTCTCGGGGCGGGGAACAGGTCGGCGTAGTGTTGGGGGATGAAGCTGGTGGTCACGTTCCCAGCCTCGAACTCAGGGTGACCCGAGAGACTCAGCAGAAAATCTATGTTCGTGTTGAGTCCAACGATCTGAGGACGAGAGAGGAGCAGAAGAAGAAAGTGAGAACACACAGAGAGACCGAGTCATTTCAGTCACATGGGACACGGAGACTTTGAAGCTCCGGGTCTCGGCGTCTCACATTATATTGTCGTAAACAGTAGCGCAGCTTCTTTAAGGCAGCTGGTCGGTCCTCGCCCCAAACCACAAGCTTAGCGATCATTGGGTCATAATGTACCGACACCTCATCCCCTGAAAACACACACACACACACAGACACACACAGTTAGTGTGTGTTTAAATGTGTAGTTATATGAAGGGGAGCAGCTCTTCAGTAGGATTTAGACTCTCTACCTTCCCTGACTCCCGTCTCTATGCGAGTGTGTTGGTCCGCTTGAGGGGTGGAGAGATGCAGCAGAGGCCCCGCCCCTGGGAGGAAGTCGTTGTTCGGGTCTTCGGCGTAGATCCGCGCCTCGAATGAGTGGCCCCCTAAGATGATGTCATCCTGGAGGAGCGGCAGACGCTCCCCTGCTGCCACCTGGAGGATTTTAACAAAGTAAGATCAGCTCATGTTTCCCACCGTCACTTTCTCCAGTCTGATTCCCTCCCTCTCTCTCCCTCCCTCCCTCCCTCCCTCCGTCTCACCCTGAGCTGCCACTCCACCAGGTCGGTTCCAGTGATCATTTCAGAGACGGGATGTTCCACCTGCAGCCTCGTGTTCATCTCCATGAAGTAGAAGTTATGATTGGCATCCATGATGAACTCCACCGTACCTTCACAGGAAGTCAGATGAGAAGTAAATAAACTGTAACTGTTGTGGGTCTGAGGGACCGTGAGGAGATGTGAGTCTGTGTTTGTGAGTCTGTGTTTGTGAGTCTGTGTTTGTGAGTCTGTGTTTGTGAGTCTGTGTTTGTGAGTCTGTGTTTGTGAGTCTGTGTTTGTGTGTCTCTCACCTGCTCCTACATAGTTCACAGCTTTGGCTGCACGAACTGCTGCTTCTCCAAGTTTCCTCCGGACCTCAGGACTGATCCCAGGCTGAAAACGACGATGACGAAACATTAAACAGTTGACAAAAGTTGATCAGTGGATTCGAGGAACTTTAAAAACTTCTCGTCTTCAGAGCTTCGTGAACTCACCCCCGGTGCTTCCTCAATGATTTTCTGATGTCTCCTCTGGACGCTGCAGTCTCTCTCAAACAGATAGACGGCGTTACCGTGCATGTCTCCGAACACCTGAACCTCCACATGTCTGAGGGAGACACACACATAGTGAGGGTGTGTGTGTGTGTGTGTGTGTGTGT